GCCTCCGTTAGGGATGTGGCTAAGAAGCTGCACCTAAGCCGAAGTTTTGTCCAGAAGGCCAAAACTAAGGCTGGGCTTCGAACGTTCAAGGTACAAAAGGCCCCTAATCGCGACGAGAAGCAGAACAAGTCCGCCAAAACCCGTGCCAGGAAGTTGTACCTCAACATGCTGACGAAAGTTGAATGCTGCATCATGGACGACGAAACATATGTGAAGGCCGACTTCAAACAGATCCCCGGCAACCTGTTTTTCACGGCCAAGGATAAGTTCAGCGTTCCGGAGCATGTCCGCACTCAGAAGATGCCCAAATTTGCGAAGAAATTCCTGGTTTGGCAAGCCATCTGCACGTGCGGGAAGCGGAGTGCACCTTTCGTGACCCAGGACACGATGAACGGACAACATAAAAGAGTGCCTCCAGAAGCGGCTGCTTCCTCTCCTGAAGGCCCACAACGTCCCAACAATCTTCTGGCCGGATTTGGCTTCATGCCACTACTCCAAGGACGTGCTGAAGTGGTATGCGGACAATAAGGTCAATTTCGTGCCGAAAATGTTCAACCCTCCCAACACTCCGGAGCTCCGCCCCATCGAGAAGTACTGGGCGATTATGAAGCAGCACCTTCTTAAACGACCTAAGGTAGTGAAGACAGTCGAGGAACTGAAGAAAGTATGGGTTTACATGCAAAAAACGGTTGATTCACAGGTTGTGCAGAATCTTATGGCCGGGGTTAAGGCCAAGGTGCGGGCATTTGCGTATGGACTGTAAATAAAATACGAGTAAAATGGTAAAATGAAGTTTAATAGTTATTTCTCAATCCCTGAAAATTTGATGGCAATCGGATGAAAACTCGAATTTTGCCGAGGGGGGCGACACATCTAAATCTCAAGTTTAGATGCTCAACAAATCTCACACTAGCGAATCAATCTTCGAACAATCTTCTTTCATTTGTCGCATCTACTTGCATCGCTCATCAAGTTTTTGCCATAATCGTCATCAATCTTCTTTCTATCTACTCAGCGTGCGCACAGGTAGCTACAGCAAAACACAATCTTTTATGCATCGTAGATAGAGTCGTCCCCCTCGAATTTTGCGAATCAATTTTGTGTGTGGCAATTTCATCGTGGACACCCTTTAGTTGTAGGATCGACCGATGAACATGCTCTAGTAAGAGAATACGTCAACGGGGATCTGACAAGCAGTTTGATGACTATGGCCTTCAAAAAAGTTCTGCATTCATCTCGGAATTCGAGATGAACATTTCAAAATGTCCTATCTGCATTGATCGCAGAAACGGCTTAATTGTGTTAGTGAAATGTGCAAATGTTTAGTGGGGTTCGTATTTCATTGCAATGTTTATCTTTTTACACGAAACCGCTGTTGGCACTGACGTCAATCTCACTGTTGACAGCAGGGAATGTTGAGTGCTCAGCAATGTTTACAATAGTTTTGCTTCTAACACCAGCAGGCTACCTGTTGGCACATACCTTATATGAATTCATTGGTGTGATGTCGCCAATATGAGGTGTTGGTGAAAAAAGCGATTTGCCTTGCGTTAAAACTGTCATTGGACGGATGAACGCATAGTTGTTTAGATTGCACTTTTTCGGTACACAATCGGTAAAAAATATTCAGAATAAAGTTACTTTTACTCAATTTGGAAGGAACGATGCATAAGCAAAAAAATTCCCTGATTGTTTCGAGAATTCCCTGAAAATTCCCTGATTTTGGCAGGGAATTTAGAGTTCCCTGATAATTCCAGGTTTTCCAGGTTTTTCCAGGTAGTCGCCACCCTGTTTATAACTTCAGAGAGAGATTCGTAGAAAGCTGATAACATCTGGTCTACTGAGGCATAACTTGATAATCGTTCCCACTCAATATACATAAAAATAGAATTCAACAAATCAAAGTTGCATTAAAATAGTCAAATTTAAAACACTTGTCCTGATCGTCAAGTACGGATGGTACAACACTCTAGTCAAGTAGTATGATGACTGGTGTGTGATGGTTATCAACAGGTAGCAGCGATGCAGGTGCGGCAATCAGGTCAAGATACTCCGGGAGATTGGTAAACGCCAGGTCAAGGAGTCTTTCATTCGTGTTGACATTGTTATTAATCTGCCTCAAGCCATTGGCAAACATAGCTTCTGTAAACTTTCTCTCAGTATCAGTCAAGGCGTTTGAAGGAATAAAACCATTAATGTCCTCGTCAAGATGCCATCGCAGATTAGGAAGATTAAAGTCACCGATCGATAGGATTATGTCAGTCTCCGATAAACGATCTGCCACTTGTTGAACGGCCCTTGCATGAGCAGTATATAACTCGACACTCGAGTTAGGTGGAAGATAGATAGCCACTACATAAAGCGAATGAGATTACGACTTTATGCAAACTGCAATTTGCTCAAGATTGTCACAGTAAGTTATCGAAATAGATTCACACTCCAGGTAGCCGCAATTAGTGCACCACCGCCCCGCAAATGAGAGGACTGGTTAACTCATTCCGATCACAGCGGAAGAAAACGTAATCCGACGAAATTTCACTGCTGTCAATATCAGCACGGAGCCATGTTTCCGTAAAGACAAGTACGTCATAGTCACAGCTGGATAATTAAAGCAAAGTTACAATAACTATTATTCTGCATCTTTGAAATAAAATATAACGGAAGCTACTTAATAGCCATTCGATATCCGTAATGAATCTTTAAAAAAACTTAAAATCTGGGTAGCTTTATTTTTATGTTTGTTTGAGTATTTAACGACGATTTAATGACAAGATGGCTTCGTTTTTTTGTGAATGCGGACCATTCAACGTTGCGACTCAATTGTAAGAGCAGAAAGGCGTCAGATGCTGAATGAGAGAGAAAGCGATAGTTAGCTTTATTTTCCCAGATGTTTGAATATTCAATGTCGATGATGGCTTCGTTCAAAATAACGACGATAAGGTGGCTTCGTTCAAGATGGGAGATATTCTAACATTGAAAATCGATATTGCTCTTGGTATATTGCTGAACGTTCAAACATTCAACTGCTTGCGCGACTCGCCACCCAATCAGAATGATGCGTATGCGTAAATAAACCGTTCACCTTTATCACATCCCTCAGTTCCTTTTTCTTACCCGCAGCTTACTGGTTTTTCCCAAAAAGTCACCTCTACATCTAATTTCATCTTGGCTTCCTTTTTTGTGAATGCAAACCATTGAACGAGTCGAGTCAGTTGTGCGAGCAGAAAGGCTAACAGATTGTTTGAATGCAGTTTTCAACAAATTCAGTTTTTGATAAATTTTCGTCCTTTTTGGTTTTTGGCCTTTCTAGCTTTCGGTCTTTTTGGTTTTCAACCTTTTCGATTTTCGGCCTATTGTGTTTCAGCCTTTTATGATTCGACATTCTGTACGGGTCCCATTGTCGCACTTATGTTAAATTCTAATTTGGTGACGGTCGAAGCGCGCTGCAACCCCGCCCATAATTATTATACACAGGTGGTGTGTCTGCCGCAGTCATAAAATATTAAATCAATGGGCGCAGTCGTACGACCATAAACAGAAAACAGATTGTATAATCCCATTTTGAGAAAATATCCTGCCACACAATAGTATTTGAGCAAATCAAGCGCGCACTTTTTTGCCACTGAAGGGTGGGGTAATCACCACGTTTCCTCCCTTTCCTATACGTAAGTTCGCAAGCGCTTGGTTCGTATTGTCATTCAAATAGCCATCGCTCAATATCAACTTCTATTTAAATTTTCATACTGCCGTACTCTAAAGAAGCTATCAATTCTATCTTCTTCATAACTTACTCTAACTAATAAATTTCGACCTAAGCCTCGTGTTGATATTAGAAAAGCATATCCTTTAACTCCGTTTTTGAAAGTAATTACCCCCCGTATACAAGGTGTTTTTATGGTTATGCTTATCAAAACAATCACATCAAAATCAGAGATGTCCCATTTTTTAATTAGTCGATTAACAACTAATCGATTATTTTTTGTTCGCTGTGCTGTCATTTTTCCACCAATGAGAGTGTAGATCATTTATGAAACGATGGGTGATGATCCTCTGGAGGAGTTATTGTTTATATCGGCATGATATAACCGATAGTACATTTGATGAAAGGGACAGTGAAACAGGAAAAAAAACTGTGAAGAAACGTACTTTTTATGGTTTGCAATTTGTTCTATATTATACCTTAATACGTCCTGCTGCCCTCTATAGCCACGAATCGTGAACGTAGAAGGAGGTTGAGCAGTTGGTATCTTCGAGTATCAAGGGCTGAGAACAAAACTCGTCGGTATGGGCTTATAAAACCCGGGAGCCTACGGTGGGCTCGGCATGTACCACGTACATCGGAAGAGCGACAAGCGAAGATAATATTCAGTAATCCGATCGAGGACATTGACTTCGGATTAGATCTCGTACACGTTGGCATTTTTTAAGTTGAGGACATAAAGTCGCTTAATATTGATGGCGGCTGGAGTCTAGTATAAAAGATTTTTCGTTTGGCGTAGATTCGACGAAATGGATTGCAACCCGACAAAACAGTAAATTGGGTAGGCAGGTGTTGATATTTACCCTATCGAATCGTGAATAGTTCATCGTCTTAAATTACCACGGGTACGCAACCAGTTCTTGTTAACCCATCGGTGGCGTCAAGTTCGTTTTACCTGCTTTGCTCACCTAACATTTCAGACCACTTTCTACCGACTTTGGCTTCAGCAACTTAACCACTGAGGAAATTTTCAAGATCTCGGACTTATCAAATATATTATTATTATTATTTAACTTTATTAATGAGGCTTTCAGCCTTGGGCTGGTTCGCCTCCACTTATCAAATATAGAAGTAGGTCCCGTCAATTATGGATCACTTCCATTTGATTAAAACGCTAGACTGAATGATCCATAATTGTGGAGTCAGTGTACTCATAGAGCTCACAGTTGAGGCGTAAAGCTCTATAGTTGAATTCGGCACGCTTTTCATTGGAGTATTAGTTCCTGAAAATGAAACTTACCTGAAATTCCAAAGTCACACATTTTTACGTCTCCTTGCCTATTGATCAGTATGTTGGACGGTTTCACATCTCTGTGGATAACGCGCAGCTTAGTGTAGAGATAATTGAGTGCATTAACAACTGCGACTGCAATCTGTAATTACCAATCAATTACCAAGGCCTTGGACAAGACAAGTGTAGCCAAACACGTACCTTTCCGAGGATGTCCTCGGGCATTTTCCGACCGTTCTTGAACACGATGGGGTAGAACTTGTCTATACTCGTATCCATCACTTCCATGCATATCCATACATCGCCCTCGCGGAACAATGCCCCGTAGAAGTGGACGGTATACTGGCAGTCACTTGCGCGCATCGAAATATCCAAATCCATAAGCAACCGTTTCTGTTCCTGTGTCTGTCCAGTTGCTGTTATTCTTTTAACAGCCATAATCGTGTTTGTTTGCTTGTGGCACATCTTTTCGACAATTCCGTACGCACCACGTCCAAGATCACATATTTTTACTAGATTGTCTGCCTCAACCACAAAAGTATTGCTACCAATCGTTATGGTAGCAGTTTTATCCAAATTTCTTGGAGGCGTTCTGCAAGGTTAATTAAATTATTACTATTAACACATAATTACCAAACATCTCTTATCGCTGCTATACTTACACTGGGTTGGAATTTGTTGCCATATCCATTTGGATTTTCAGGCCGGGGCCTTTGTTCCGTCGGTTCATTCTGACTGGTGTTCAAGGTTATGCTCTCAGTAATAGTTGGAAAGGGCTTTTGCGAGCGTCAGACTAAGGTCAATAACCACTATAACCGCACAGTTCAATAACTAATTACAGGTCTGTATGATTTTAACAGGGTTTGACGTCCTCAACGCGATAAATAAACAATTATTTACATAATAATTTACCACCAGAGTTTAAAATCCACTTAAGGAAGCGTTTTGACGGATTAAGCAACAAAAAATAATGTTACTAAGCAGAAAAATAAACAAACCTTCTTTTCAGATATATAACAATCGTTCGACGCTCCACATTTCAAGTGTGCAGATTAGACACAACTCTATTTGTTTCGAAAAACTTTATCGAAAATTTCACAAGGAAACTAAAATGTCTTGAATAACTGGAGTTAATTGAAAATACTGAAGGAATGGTCAGCAAACGCCAGATGAGTGGTGTGTTTATAGTGCTGTTAAAATTCACCACTGAGCAAAAAGACTAAAGGGCGAGCTAAAGGCAATGTGCTTTATATCTCGCGTCACTTTTCCAATAGACCAATGTAACATATTGGCCAATTCGAGAAAATCGAAGTTGAGAGTTGAAGTTCGACAGATTATTATGTTAACTACTGTTTAGAATCAATGCATTTTGCAATACTATTTTTACTGTAGTTGAAAATTCTCGCGTCACTTTTCAAATAGACCAATGTAACAAATGTAAACATATCGAGTTAAGCTATACAAATTATTGCTCTTCTATCATTGTATGTGATACAAAAATATCCATCCAAATTTACTTTCATTTATTTAAGATAATCATAGGTCAAAAATTGTCCAATGTACTGTTTGAAATGATGGGTACATGATTGTTACTTCGGTCATGATTGGTGCTCATTTTCTAAAGGCGGGGCTAACCTAAAGTTAGGTACTCTACTCTGAAATCTGTGAAAGGGATTCTAGTATCATGTAGAACAAAACGTTCAATATAACACTCATTGATTATGTCATTGAGATAAATCTTCCAATGTAACATGTCCGATGTACGACTTGATTTGTCAAAACGTCCTATGTGGTTTTTTCTAAAGAGCCTGAATTTATAAAGAGGCGAATAACTTTTCCTATGACTTTGACAGACAATCGATTGTTCCAATTTTGACATGTCGTCTCTTTATAAATTCAGCCTCTTTAGTTTTTTTTTCTATATTGTAGCATGAAATTCAAAGTAAAATTGTGATTTTACCGTTTCTAATGAATTTTCAACGTTATTATTCACTGACTACATTAAAAATGGTATTGCAAAATGTATTGTTTCTAAACAGTTAAAATAATAATCTGTCGAACTTCAACTTCGATTTTCTCAAAATAGAGTTCTCTACCACCGTTAAGGCCCAAGCGCAATGACAGCGGAAGCGGAACGGCAACGGCAGCGGAAAAGCCCGATCTGAGTAAGCCAACTTGTCGGATTGAAAACTTGTTGAAACCAAATCGACTTCGGTTAGGCATCTTGATGTCATTTGTGACAACTGTCAAACTTTCCGTTTCCGTTCCACTTCCGTCCACATTGCGTTTAGGCCTTTAGTATTAGTGTTGGTATTAGTGAGCAGTTTCACTAATACAAGCGTTTTACTGGTTGAAAATAAAAAAAAACAAACCGCTGTCAAGTCAGTCGAACACTTTGACAGCTGATTTCGTGGTTGAAAATAATAAACAAATCGATTTTACACGGCTACACTAGTAACGTTGTATTGGTGAAATCTTACGGCAAGAAGTCAATGGTGGATATGTTACATTGGTCTATTTGTTGAAAAGTGACGCGAGAATTCAGTACACACAAAGAAAAGTCGTTTATAAAATTAAAAAAATCCATTCGTAGATTTAAAAGTTTGCATTGGTTCTTTTTGGTAGAAAGCGGTTAGCTTTCAAAATAAAAGTCAACCAACCGTCAATTCAAAAGTTGTCCGCTCGATACTTTTAAAAGTTCATATTTTCAAAATGAATTGTAGAACTGTCAAATGAAAAATGTATTAGTGTTTAAATTAATGGTGGATTATTTTTGACTTGAAAATGTGGCATAGTTAAAATTAAATGGGCATTTTGAATTTAAACTAAAATATTTTCAAAAAATATTTATTTGGCAAAAAAAATTGTTTTTAATTTTAGTGGATAAATTTTCAATCTTCTTTATTATTATTTTTCAATTGGATAAGATCCAATTTTTTTTACATTGTTATTGTTATCTTTGTTGATGTTTACGTTATTGCGTCTTGGAGTTATTCTCGCTTTGAGTAAACCTGCTACAGGAACAGGTACATGGTGATGTCACAGATGCAGGGTTAAGGACAGAAGACAACCTCCAGCATTGTCAGCAGCGTGATTGTTTGCCGGTGGAGATTTTACGGCAACAGATAGCGGAAGGAAGGTGTCAAATTAGACCGTTTTCGGTGAGGGTTTCTGTTCATTCCTAGCCATCTCGTCCGCTTGCAGATGACTATTGTTTCGGTTTACCTGAAATTTATAAAAATCTCTAATTAAACTCTACTATTGTTCTTAAATTTGATCGCTTACCTGATGGGATAATTATTTTCCACGGAGGAAAATTATTGTCCTTCCCAACTTTTCCTCGCTCTTCGTGACACATCTGACGTCAAGCCAAATTAAGCGGCAAAACAAGTTCCAGTGCTGCCAAAAACTTTGCCTAGAAAATGTATTTTTGACAGTTGAACAACTTTCATTTAAAAAAAATGCACTTTTAAAATTACAAGTCGAAACTGAAAGAAAAACTTTCAAACCAAAAAAATAACTTTTATTTTGAATATTTTCGTTGTTAAAATTACGAAATTTAGGAAACTTTTAATTTGAAATGGCATTATTCTTATTAAAACAATTTTTGTTTTTTGTGTGTGATAGCTCTATTGCAGATCCAGCAACCCATTCCAGAATGTCTGGAGAGTCACGCCCATTCCGAGGTTACTTTCACTCACAATAAGCCCCGCATTCAAATCTGGCATGTATTTAGTTTAATTTTGATATTTTTTTAATAATTGGAAAGCTCTCACTATCTCCTGCTTTTCCACCGTCGTTAATTGCTTCTTTTGGAATCCCTTGGACTTTTTCTGTAACGCTTCATATTTCATTCCGTGCTTCACCAGCAATTTCCTTCCGTAGATCGTCTGGCTTCCGGATCATTATGCACTTGTAACTAAATCCAAACGGACACGATTAAGATTTTTTTACAGTATACTGTAAATTTTTACCGAATATGGAACAGCTGAACGTTCGGTAATCCATTCGGTAATTTTTCAATTTACAATCCGTTCGGTAAAATGTCTTCGCTTGTGCGCTGTCAAAATTTACTGACCTGCGGACTGTAAATTTTACTGAACGATCAGTAAAGTTTACCATAGCGTTCAGTATATGTTTTACCGAATCTACTGTACTTTTTTTCAGAATAAATCATAAAAATTAGATTTTTTATTGATTAATTATTTGTTTCTTTCTTTCACCAACCCAAAAATTCATTCGACTATTTAACCATATATTTTTTAATAGGCATTTCCATATTGAGTTCGTACAAAACTTCATAAAAAAAATCACTAATGAAGCCGGACTCAGCAAACGGTGGACTTTTGAGCCGGACTCAGCACTTCTGAGGAGGATATTGAGTTGCCTAACGTCCATGGCGTCTGAAATTAATTGACCCAAAAATGAAAACTGATTAAATTTTCGTTGTAAATTGAACACAATCTAGCAAAAAAAAAGTAAAGTACTTACGTTTCACAACATAAAACCGAATAACACTCAACATCGAAATGGCAGCAAAGGTTGTGTTTGACGGTACAAAGTTTACAAATCTGTTCAGTAAGTTTTACGGAAATGCTGTACTTTATTGCTGTTTGTTTTTGTAAAATATGATTTTTACAGTGCATTCGTTACAATTTTTACAGAATTGCGGAATCGCAGCCATTTACAGTTTCAATCAGCAAATTTGATTTACAGTTTTCGGCAAATTTCTGCAAATTACGGAATTTCAGCAGTTATGATTGCGGTAAATTGGTAAAATAATACTCTTTACAAAGCATTCGTTAAAAATGATATTTCACCGAACAAATCCAGCAAAAAAAGTACCGAACAAGATTTAAGAAATTTGGTGTGTACTGTAAAAAAATCTTAGTGTGTAAAGGACTTATTGCACTAAATTTTCAATAAACTTCTCAGAAAACCTTTGCCTCCTTTAATATTGCTCTTAAAATGTACACACTTAAAATTTTTCGCCGAGATTCCAACAGCCGAGTAATTCTGCAATTTATTTTGCTGAGATTCAGTAAAACAATTGCCGAGACTCAGCTAACAAAAAATATTTTGCTGAGATATCAGCTAACAAACAGGTATTTTGCAGAGATATCAGCAAAAGTAAATGCCGAGTTAATCTGCTGTTGGAGATTTTACCGAGCTAGATTAAGTGTGTAAGCCATAATTTTATTAAATTGTGTAGATTCCTAGGTAGATTCTTTCAAATTATTATCAAAATAATTAATGTAATTACAATTTCAGTGATGACGTGAAAAAATCGCAGTAAACACGCAAATATAAGGTATTTCGGATCGAGTACCATAAAATTGTTACAAATTTTGTTCGTTAACGTTTTCATATATGAATGATATGATTGAATTTGATTCCGACTACCTTGATTCAAGTAAACATTTTTTTTTTAAATCAATAAAAATCGATGTTTAATTCAATAAAGCTGGTGGCATTATTTCAATTATATATTTTTATTGGATTACTCTATGGATTTTATTGATCTATATTCTATTCAAAATTTTGTTTGAAATGTATCTTGCTTTATTTGGATGAACTATATTTTTTCTGCGTGTGGGTAAACCATAGCTTACCCATTAAATGAGGAGGTGTACTTTTAGCGGAAATGGGTATTTTTTAAACACATTAATGGGTTTTCGTGAAACACCGTGTAGGTCAAAAATTGTCTTTTTTTTATTGGTCTATTTGAGAAGTGACGCGAGAATTTTATAGTACACTGAAACAAGGACCATAGTTACGAATACTATTTTGCAGAAAACATTTATTTTCAATATAACCACGCTTATTACCGTTAAATCTACTATGAATTCAATATAGTTTACTATGAATGTTATCATTTTTACTATAATTCTGGAAAAACTACTATGCCTGCTCAAAATGCATAGTAATATTGATAGAAATAATAGTAAAATTAAATGAAAATGTTTTCTGCAAAATTCTATTGGTGAGGGGATTTAATTTAAACCAGCAATATAGTATTTTTGCAAAAAGATTTTGTTTCAGTGTATGTACAGATTTATAACATGTCAGTGCTAACATTTGAAAACGGCGCAAAAGCCATTTGTAAACAAATGGTTTGTGGGCCCTTTACTCGCTACCCGAAGAACGCCCACGCAAACCAACAGCATCGTCAGGAAGGGGAAAATTTCCCCTACCCGATGTTGCTGTTGTGTCGCGTGGGTGTACTTCAAGTAGTGAGTAAAGGGCCCAAAAACCATTTGTTTACAAATGGCTTTTGTGCCGTTTTCAAATGTTAGCACTGATGTTATAGCGCTATAGAGCTTTTTGATGTTCAATCGGAGCACACTACTTCACCATTTAAATCAAACGAGTGCGAGCAAGAAGGAAACAGATTAGTGGGAAAACAAACCGTTCATTCATCCATGTGTGCTAAATAGAGAAAGACGATTAAACGTCAAAAAGGTCTATAGTGATGGTGGTTTCTGTGTTGCAATTATTTGACTTATTAATCAGATTCATGTCGATGTTGTTCATTTGACAACTTGTCACTTTCAACCCAGTTTACCTAGATTTCATTCGCGAGAAATTGACGGCTAAAGCCACAAACGAAGTGACAGACGGAGCGGCTCGAAAACTTTGGTGACTAACCTGCTATTGCAATTTTTCAGTGTACCACATGGCAACACCACTACTACTGGATTGTACCACATGGCAACACTACCATAGAGGTAACTCTAAGACTAGTACACACCAAAAATCTGAATCAAGTTCCAGCAAAATAAATTGCTGATCTGCTTCCAGCAAAAGTAGTTTTTACTGACTAACCAGCAATCTAAACATTTTTACTGGAAGCTCAGTAATATGCATGATCTGTCAAATATAGGATCATTTTTATGTTTCACATTCCCACGGCATTTTTTTTTTAGGATCAAGAAGTGCTTTTTTAAGCATTATATTGCTCATGCTTGTGAAATTCACTACGAACCAGTAAGTAAGTGCATTAACATTATCACTACGTGAATTTAACTAGGTTTATTATTTTGATTTCAGCTAAAATCCTTGCGAGAAGTGCTTCTGAATCGTTGAGATGTGTTATGGCAATGTGAAAAAAAACACATGGATTATCAAGCAATTAAGATAAAAATTGGATTCACCTAATAAACGAACTTTACATATACTTAGAATATATTTATATTTAACTCTTAATTTGACACAATCTATATAGAAAAACAAATTAAATTGCTGGTGATTCAGTAAAATATTTATTATGCGTTTTGCTGAACAAACCAGTGAAATATTGCTGGTTTTGCAGCAATGAGCTGTCAAATGAGCTGCAAGATGTTTTGCTGGTCGTTCAGTAATAATATTTTGCTGGAAGGATTGCTGGATTTCCAGCTCGGCAAAATCCAGCAAAATTTTGCTGGTTTACGGCAATAAAAAATGGGTGTGTAGGTCCCGAAGAAAATCATTATTATTTTTGGCTCACTCAGTACCAGAACAACGGTCCCAAGCAGTCCCAAGCTATTTCACTCACCCCTGCATGTTCTGCATGAATCCACACACCCCTGATGTTATCTGTCAAACTTTCATAGCGAATCAAAACAAACATAGTGTAGTAATAGAATTTCAACTAGAATAGGGTACGTTAATCGTTTGCTTGGGACCAATAGGCTACTAAAGTGGTGAGCCAATTTAAAATCGTTAGTTTCGTATTGATTGTTGACACTACTACTAGATTGAACTAGCATTTTCACCAAATGTAATAGAATGTTTTGGTTCTATCTCTTTCACTCTACTCAAAACTGAAATGCATTAAAAAATGACAAAATGATACGCACTCTTTGCACACTGTCAAGAAATCATTGTACACAAAATCAACTTTGTTCAAATCAAAACAAAAAAATGGTGGATGATGGCACAAGCTTCCAAGAAAATTCTGTTACAGTGAACCACATTATTTAAATGAATTTCTTCGCCAGTTAGTCGTCTGTCACTTCGTTTGTGGCTAAAGCCATTGTTTACAAAAGCAATTACGCCCCTTTGAAATGTTGGAACTGAATTATTGGTAATCCATGATTACCGATAATTTGGGTATGTGCAGTGTTTTCGACTATCGGTAATTTCTACCGATATTTAGGTATTCTTTACCGACTTTAAGGTATGTGCATCTTAGCGTGTAGCACACATGGATGAATCTCCCGCATAAACGCGAACCATAAATTGGCCTTACCAAAAATGGTTAAAAATTGTTTATAATCCCTGCTTAACTTCAACTGAAATTGTTATGGAACTTTACAAGAACGTTTGTGTGATAAAGTTTTAACCTTATGTATTATGGTTTTTTGGAAGCGGACCTTACAAATAATGAGTTGTTAAGAACCATTACCATTCAAAATTCTTGTTTTCTCCATATATTTTCGGGAGGAGGACTATATTAGAACCTTTTAACTTATGGTTTGAGAACATTAATGGTTATGGTTATGGTAGTCAGTAAGGTCCATGAATAGTTTTGTAACATCGATCAACTTTATGTGGAATATATCGCGAATTGGTTGCCTGTAAATTACTGATTACCAATTCACGATATATTCCACGTAAAGTTGAGCGATAATACAAAACCATTAATGGACCTTACTGACTATCATTACCATAACCATTAATGTTCTCAAACCATAAGTAAAAACGTTCTAATATAGTTCTCTTTTCGAAAATGTATGGAGAAAACAAGAATTTTGAATGGTAATGGTTCTTAACAACCCATTATTTGTGAGGTCCGCTTTCAAAAAACAATAATACACAGCAAAAAAAAATGTAATATCGATCAACGTAATTCAAGCTGATGTATGAAATAATGATGTAAAAGCAAAAAGCAGATACAATATTACATCAATGGCTGTAATTTTGTTCGCAAAATCGATGTACATCGTTCAATGTGATATTACACAACCGATGGATTGACCTGGTTGCAGCAGTTTCGATGTAATATTCAACAACTTTTTTTGCTGTGTACATAAGGTTAAAACTTTATCACACAAACGTTCATGTAAAGTTCCATAATCATTTCAGTTAAAGTTTAGGAGGGATTGTAAACAATTTATAATTATTATCGGTAAGGTCAAGTTATGGTTCGCGTTTATGCGGGCGGAGTACTGCGAACTCAGCCGATTTTATTTTTCAAGTGAGCTAGAAAACATCTTGAAAATCTTCCGAAGTTTCAAATTGTTTTGCTGAAACAGTTCACGAAATTGTATATACATGCTGTCAAATGAACCCTTGGCTCCTCCTCCTCTTCTCCAGAAATAACGTACACATGGTGATGGGAGTGCACCTGCCCACAAAGCTCACATGACTCTTATAAAGTTTGATTACATTCTTGTTTCAGCAACCCAGTTTTGGCATTATTAATATCAAATAAAAACACTTTTTCGAGCATCACGCTCTATGATTTACATTGTCCGCCTACTAAGGTTGATGTTTTGACAGTTTCATAATTATGATTCTTAATTTGTTTTCAGTAGGTGCTAACACCTTTACTTGCGGTTCAAACAGTAACTACCTACGTGACATCTGAGCTCTTTCGAATGTTTGGCTCCCGTTTGACAGTTTGACTCGGCTCCCAGATGACAAGCATTTTGAGTTAGTTCGCAGTACTCAGGGATGAATGGACGGTTTGTTTTCCCGCTAATATGTTTCCCTCTTGCTCGCACTCGTTAGCTTTAAATGGTACAGAATAAAGCCCTACAGTAAAAGTATGGACGACTGTCACCACAAAACTGAAAAAAGCTGTTCCAATCGAGCAAAGCGGTGCATTTTGATTGGAACAACTTTTGACAGATGTCCATACTTTTACTGTAGGGTAGAGTCGGTGTATAATGAGTCACGCCAAGAGTGAAGCCAAGTCTACCTATTGAACCGTCAAACCAGCTACCTATCGGGCAAAGTAAACAAACATTACGATGCTATGAAAGGTTCACGAAAGGTATTGCAATAAAATATAAAATATAATCGAAGAAATGAGCATAAACACGCAGTGAGCATTAAATTTTCATGGGATACGTTCGGTAATGATCAGTAATGAGAATTACTACTATTTTTTGTTAAGATAATTTGACAAAATCACTGATATAATGATTTACTACAGCCGCATTTTTTTTCTTTCGCTAGAAGTCATTTGAAGTTGTTGTAGAAGTCCTCTGTTGCCAAGTGAAAAGAATGGGAATCTTTCGAAAACCGTGATGCGAGTTCAACTGTTTTTCTCTTGGCGTGACTCATTATACACCGACTCTACTGTAGGGCTTTAGTATAGAATTGTGCGCCGATTAAACGTCAAAAAGCTCTATACCCAGATTCATCTTATCTTTATAAACCTTGTGGCAAATATATATAAAAATGCATAAAACGGCTTGATAAATTACAATTCCTTTCTTTTTTGTGTTTTGTTTATAAATATTTCTAGATAGAGCTAGAATTTGGGCGTAACAGCTTTTGAAAACAATGACTTCTCTCGATGATAAAATGAACTTGTTTCCAAATAGCCTAGACTCGCTTACTCAAATCATCGTCACTATCGGGTAGTGGAAGTCTTCCCCTTCCCGTTGGATGTATTGGTTTGCGTGGGCGTACCTTGAATTTCGAGAAAATTTCTTAGTCTTAGACTTAGTCATTGTTTACAAAAGCTGTTACGCCCTAATTCCAGCTCTATCAAGATTTACGGTTTGTTTGTCATTAAAGTGTGAATGATTGAATTTTGTTCTAAAAAAAAATAGTCGGAAAATAGTCGATACATCTATTGCATTAAATTAAAATTACATTGAAAATCAGTTCTGTCAGAGATGCGGAACTGTTATGTCCCAAAGTGCGATTATAAAAATAAATACAACCCGAAACGAGCGATGTTTAATGTCCCCATTAAGGTTTGTAAACATGCCGTATTTCAGACAACAATAACTTTTGAGAAGTTAATAATTTAATAATTTCTGATTCCAGAATCCTCCTCTTTTTCGGAAATGGCAAAATATCCTCCCGGTGCATCATCGTCCATTGAAGGAGTTCGATCGGATTTGTGAACAACACTTTCGAGAGGAAGACATCCTTCGATACTGGGAGCACACTATCAACGGAACAGTGGAACGAATGGCGCGTCACAAACCCTTATTGAAACCAAATGCCATCCCAGTGTTCGTGGAAGTAGATCATGACGAAATAACAGATAAAAACACCACATCCACTTTGCCCAAACGGAAATATCGTAAGAAAAGTGAAAGCCAGTCCAGGGCAAAGGTAAATAGAGTTTTTGTTGTTTTGGTTGAATGTACCTAATTAGATGAACGATTATCGATTCAGACTATGCGACAAGATATTGAAGTGCAAAATGTTGATGAATTAGTTCTGGAAGGAAGCAGTATCAACCAATCGACATTGGAATCAGACGCCGACCCAATACACTTATCTATACAGGATGTAAGTGAAGTAGTTGATGGTCAGGCCGTTGAACATAACATTGTTATCGAAATGACTCATCTGATGCATCCGGAATTTGAAACCTTATTCGATGAGGTGTACGAGGTGGAATTACCTTCGACTCTCTGGGGAATTCATCGAGACCTTGAGAAAACATTTATTTGCTTTTCGGAATTCAGCAAGGATACCATGACGGTTCGAAAGTACCTTTTCATTGACCGATTCTTGCAATACCGGATGGCCGTTGGCCAGCGTGTTATGAAACGAGGAACCCTCCCGAATGGTTCCACTGAATCCATCAGTGAATTATTGACCAAGTTGGATGAAGTTAAAATAAGGAAAGTGATCATCAAAGGTAGCTCTTCGGTGTTTCCTGAATCTTGAAGCTGTAAAATGTAAGTTATAAGTCTTGATTTACTGATCGTAGTTTTAAAAACTTTTAATACTTTTATTTGTTCCGAAAGCATGTACAAAACGTATTCTTCATTTTGCGATCAAAGAATTACCTTGCTGCAATTTTTCAAGTTCTAACTGCTTCATATATGCGAGAAAAATCGTCCACAAAAGACTGCACATACTTACAAAAGGAACACGATTTTTCTCGGGAACGACTGAAAAATTGAAAGTTTGTAGCACTGGCCAGATACATATAGCCACCTAAAAATGGAAATAGAAGTTTATTTTTTGTTCTATCCTAAAACAATTCGAAATTTTCTTATACCTTGTACGTTGGTGGGACTTTAGCTTTAACTTCCTGGAACGATTCTTCGACTGTTTTCGATTCCAGTAGACTCATTCCGAAGTAGAAACATGTCATGGCCAACGGCGTGTAGCTGATTTGTTCTGTGAGAGCCTGTGGAAGAATAGAGCGCATTGATCGAATAGATTGTCGGTATTAATGATGCTGTGATTACCTTTGCTATTGCAGATCTAAGGGTCTGCGCTGGCCACATCATGGACGCTAGCCTTATCCAGCAGTAGAGACTGGGTGCAACGATGAAACCGCCGTACACGAAAAATCTGAAGCATTTCTTCCAGTCCAAGTCTCCTGAAATGTTGGTTACATTGATTAATTTCATTGCTATATATAGATCAAGGATAAATTCTAGATAGAACTAGAATTAGGGCGTAACAACTTTTGTAAACAATTACTTCTCTCGGTGATTTCTAGAAAGTTATGGCTCGCCCACGCAAATCAACATCATCATGGGATAGAATAAGACTTCCCCTACCCGATGGTTATGTTGATTAGCATGGACGTGCCTTGAATTCCTAGAAAACATCGAGAGAAGTCATTGTTTACAAAAGCTATTTCGCCCTAATTTCAGCTCTATCTAGAATTGTCAAAATAGCCTTATCAGCTTTTGTAAACAATGATTCGAACGTCAACCCAACAAACAATTCAGAGTCACAAATATGCATAGTATTGAATAAATGTTGTATTACAGTGTACAATGATGGTCATTGTCCCAGCTCGACGACCTCCGCTAAAGCCTGCATGGTCTAACCCACGCCTACGCGTGCTAAAACGTCAACGCTCTGCCGCCCTCCGAAAGTATTGTAACTTTCGCTCACCGTACTACAAACGACTGTTCAATTTTGCGAGTCGTAGTTATCGAAATTACATTCGTTTTCTCTATAATCGACACGTGAGACGCACGGAAGCGAACCTTCGCACGAATCCGAAAAGTTTTTGGTCGTTTGTCAACTCCAAACGGAAGGAATCCGAGTTGCCTTGTTCCATGTTTCACGGTTTCTACCCGAAGCGCTCCGTGTCCACGAACCTGGTACAGTTCACTTCTAACTGTCTGCGATGCATGGATTCAGGATGGCAAGTCGATGCTGCGTATATGGATCTAAAAGCTGCATTTGACACGGTGGACCATAATATCTTGCTAGCCAAGCTGGAGATACTTGGCATCTCGTCAACTGCTGTGGATTGTTTCAGATCTTGCTTGGTGAATCGCTATGTACATGTCAAGATTGGCGCGTCGGAATCGGATGTTTTCTCAAACAACTCGGGAGTCCCGCAAGGCAGTAACCTAAGACAGCTACTATTTTCGATCTTTTTAAACGACGTCGCCTTGCTGATACCATCAGGATGCCGCGTTTTCTATGCAGACGATACGAACATCTACAAAATTATTAAAAGCCTCTCGGACTGCTGGGATCTCCAGAATATATTAAGTATTTTTGCTGACTGGTGCTCAAGAAATTTGATAAGTCTAAGCATAGAAAAATGTAACATTATTTCCTATCACCGAAAAATCAAACCAATCATGTTTGACTATGTTCTCTACGGACGCTGTCTTGCTCGTGTAGAGCACAAAAAGGATCTCGGCGTTACCTTGGACTGCAGACTCACTTTCATAATCCACTACAATGACATCATCTCCAGAGCTAATCGACAATTGGGCTTTATTTTCAAAATTGCCGACGAGTTTCGTGACCCGCTATGCCTCAGGTCACTTTACTGCTCGCTTGTGCGATCCTTATTGGAGTCAAGTTCAGTTGTTTGGTGCCCTTTCCATGCTACCTGGATCACTAGGATTTAATCCGTTCAACGCAAGTTTGTGAGATATGCTCTTCGTTTCCTCAACTGCCGTGACCCAACGAACTTGCCACCGTACGAGAAGCGTTGCCGTCTCCTGGGAATCGAGCCATTAGAGGAGAGACGGATGGTCGCTCAAGCTATGTTCGCTGGAAAGCTGCTTACAGGTGACATTGACTGTCCAACACTGCTGTCACAGCTAAATATGTATGCCCCTGAAAGGTCTCTTCGTTAACGCGACTTTCTGTTTTTGGAACCGCGGAGCCGGAATTATACACAACACGAGCCAATTCGAGCAATCAGCCGGTAATTCAACAACTTTTTTTTTTATATGTTCGACTTCAATGTATCAGCTGTCGTGTTTCATCATCAGTTACTTTGCCTTTTCCGTACCGTTGGCCGTAAATATTTAGTTTAAGTTTTATTCATTTAGACAATAATTGTCAGTTGAATTTTTCAATAAACAATAAACAATAAAACGGGTTGTCGAATTATGTGCTGAAAAAACTCATTGAGGTCGAAAGATGCACCTTTATTCCGCTGTTTGCTCTGATCTGATTAATTTACTTATTAAAAGCTTTATAAACGTTTTATTAGACGCATAATAAATGTTTTCTAGCTCCATTATTAGATTGCATTGCATTGCTTTACAATACTGCTGAAGGAAGTTGAATACAATCTGCATAATAGCACCGACGAACCGACATGCCACAGGAGCATTTCGTTTGTCTACAAACTACAATTCGATTTGTCAAACGAGCGATTCGAACTTTCAAACGGGCGATCTAACTGTCAGACGAGGGGAGACGCAAACTATGGCAATCTAAATTCTACGTAGGTTCGTGTTTTAGCGATCGAATGAGTAGATGGCGGTAGTGTTTAACGTTATTTAAATATAGTGTCTTGGGCAAGAATTTGAATATTGCTTGTATGAGCTGCCACGTCGGTTCGTCGGTAATAATAGCTCTTATATCACCATGCGTTCATGTTTCAATCGCATGCTTTGTAAATGCTTTATAAACGAAGTATTAGATTATTTATTCCACACTTGTTCAGTATAACAACAAGACGAAATCAGTAGAGTAGTGGTTACTGTTTCTGCTTTCCAACGAGGGGGCGACACATCTAAATCTCAATTCTAGATGTTCAAAAAATCTCATATTAGCGAATAAATCTTCGAAAAATCTTCTTTCATTTCTCGCATCTACTTGCATCGCGCATCATCTTTTTGCAGGAAATCTTCAAAATCGTGATAAATCTTCTTTCTATCTACTCAGCGTACGCGCAGTTAGCCACAGCAAAACACAATATTTCCTGCATCGTAGAAAGAGTCGTCCCCTCGCTTTCCAAGTAGAGGAGCGCGAGTGCAGTCCCAAGCTCAATCCTTTTTTATTTTGTGTTATACGTCAAATTTATTTAAATCTTAATTATCTATCACATCACTCACGACAACGAATTAATTGATCTAGTTTAAAACATATCTAAAGGGTGTCCACGATGAAATTGCCACACACAAAATTGATTCGCAAAATTCGAGTTTTCATCCGATTGCCATCAAATTTTCAGGGATTGAGAAATAACTATTAAATTTCATTTTACCATTTTACTCGTATTTTATTTACAGTCCATACGCAAATGCCCGCACCTTGGCCTTAACCCCGGCCATAAGATTCTGCACAACCTGTGAATCAACCGTTTTTTGCATGTAAACCCATACTTTCTTCAGTTCCTCGACTGTCTTCACTACCTTAGGTCGTTTAAGAAGGTGCTGCTTCATAATCGCCCAGTACTTCTCGATGGGGCGGAGCTCCGGAGTGTTGGGAGGGTTGAACATTTTCGGCACGAAATTGACCTTATTGTCCGCATACCACTTCAGCACGTCCTTGGAGTAGTGGCATGAGGCCAAATCCGGCCAGAAGATTGTTGGGACGTTGTGGGCCTTCAGGAGAGGAAGCAGCCGCTTCTGAAGGCACTCTTTTATGTACACCTGTCCGTTCATCTTGTCCTGGGTCACGAAAGGTGCACTCCGCTTCCCGCACGTACAGATGGCTTGCCAAACCAGGAATTTCTTCGCAAATTTGGACATCTTCTGAGTGCGGACATGCTCCGGAACGCTGAACTTATCCTTGGCCGTGAAAAACAGGTTGCCGGGGATCTGTTTGAAGTCGGCCTTCACATATGTTTCGTCGTCCATGATGCAGCATTCAACTTTCGTCAGCATGTTGAGGTACAACTTCCTGGCACGGGTTTTGGCGGACTTGTTCTGCTTCTCGTCGCGATTAGGGGCCTTTTGTACCTTGAACGTTCAAAGCCCAGCCTTAGTTTTGGCCTTCTGGACAAAACTTTGGCTTAGGTGCAGCTTCTTAGCCACATCCCTAACGGAGGCGTTCGGATTTCGGTTGAAGACCCCAACTACGCGGTTGTGATTTTTGGTGTTGTACGGAATACTTTTTCCTTCACTTCTGGGCTTCCGATCGGTGGTCAACCGTTCCTCGAACCGCTTAATCACTCGCGACACCGTGGAATTCGCGTTTCCCAACGTTTTAGCGATGGAACGATGCGAGAGATCCTTGTTCTCGTGATGAATACGCAAGATTTTATCACGCACGAGCTGTTCTTTCGACTCCATTTCCGCGAGTTTTGATCACAGGACTTTAAAACTTGCAGGATGTAAATAATTCACTATGAACTAAATCCACCCAAATTTTCATTAAATTCTACTATTTCCATCGTGAACACCCTTTAGTCGAAATTTTAGTTCTACACAATGCTTGTTTTGATTCGCTTTGAAAGTTTGATGGCACAAGCTTCTAAGAAAATTCTATTACAACGAACCACATTATTTTAATTGATTTCTTCGCCAGTTAGTCGTCTGTCACTTCGTTTCTGGTATTACCATAGAGGTAACTCTAAGACCAGAAGGTCCCGAAGAAATGTGCTCAACTTTTTGGCTCAGCTCTGGTACTATCTTCGGTCCCAAGCTAATCAATGCACCCCCCGAAACATAGGAAAATCCACGAACCCCTCATTTTATCTGTCAAACTTTCATAGCGAATCAAAACAAACATAGTGTAGTACTATAGTTTCGACTAGAATGAGGTGCGTTAATCGATTTGCTTGGGGAGCCGATCGATTTGCAATTCCATGTTCCGAGTTTCCAATCGTAGTCCTTATTTCGTCGCGTAGGTCTGTGTCGATTGTTCCGATCCGTTTTTCTTTCTTCGCTTTGCAACTTTATATTTTTTCCAAGGTGGCTCTGTACCAACCCCTCTGTCTTCCCGGGGGATCATCGTGCACTGCACACCCCGGTTTAGAGTCGCACGCTGGCACTAGGACCATAGAGGTAACTCTAAGACCAGAAGGCAACGAAGAAACGAGCTCAACTTTTCGGCTCAGCTCTGGTACTATCTTCGGTCCCAAGCTAATCGATTCACCCCTCGAAACGTAGGAAAATCCACTAATCCCTCATTTTATCTGTCAAACTTTCATAGCGAATCAAATCAAACATAGTGTAGTACTGGAATTTATACTAGAATCGGATACGTTAATCGATTTGCTTGGGACCAATAGGCTAGTCAAGTAGTGAGACAAGAGGGGTTCGTGGATTTTCCTATGTTTCGAGAGGTGCATCGATTAGCTTGGGAACGAAGATAGTACCAGAGCTGAGTCAAAAAGTTGAGCACGTTTCTTCGGGACCTTCTGGTTTTAGGGTTACCTCTATTGTACTGTACTATGGTGAGGTAGGAACTTATGAGGACCAAAGCTAGGAATCCCGCTCCTTCCAGGTTGTCAACAATTTTGTACCCCAGCTTTCTACCCAGAGCTGTGCAAACTGTTGGACCCTAAGAATTATCTTTCAATTCTTTGTATTGAATCTTCACATCTCCTTAAATTCTCATATTTCTCACAAGAAGTTGTTTAATTGTCTCTCCATAACTCTGCATAAAATACCCTAAAGGTACTCAAAAACTGAATAAACTAAGTTGGGACTGGCAAGTTCAAATGAACAAAATCGATCGGATTTAGGTCAATGTTGTCCATTTGTCAACTTGTCACTCCCAACATAGTTTATTCATATTTGAGTAGCTTCATTTTTCATCGATATGAGAGGATCCTACTCAAATTTGGGTAGTATGAAATAGCGTGTAGCGACCAACTTATCTTCTTCTTCATCGTTGTTACGTCCCAGCATGTCCCAACTAAAACTGTGCGACTTTCGATTCACCACATTTAAATAAAGCGGTACTTATCATAAAAATTGAACATAGCGGCGCCGGTGGTGTAGTGGTAAGCATGATTACTTCTCACCCCAGCAGACCTGGGTTCAATTCCAGTCGGCGCAGCTGGTAAGTTCTGAGGCATAACATGTCTGATCTTGCCTTCCTTCGGAACGGACTTAAAGCCGTTGGTCCCCGGTTCATGAGTTGATGGATCGATAGGTAGGGTCCAGGTGTGGGAGTTGCCTCCCTGGCGTCGGTAGCATTGGTGCTCAGCACGGAAAACAAGATCGACGGAAAACAAATCAAGGAAAAAATAAATAAAAATTTAACATAGTCCTGTTTAACGTACCATCACATCAAACTGAATGAATGTAACAAAAAACAATTAACTGCTCAATATGAGCTGCGAGTACGGTAGTCAGGTCAGTCACGTTTCGAAGACGCGAAGCATTTTATAAACATTACAGCTTCTTCACAAGATTGCACTTGAAACGTGTTCGCAGCATGACGCATGTCTAACGGAAAACTTTGGCTTCGCGCCAAGTTCACGTTCACTGCCATGGCGTAGGTTTTTTCGCCGTGTGCAGATAGTGACTACACATTTTCACTGGTATTTGTCCTTCATGGTACTCTTCCGTTTTCTTCCGTTAATAGGTAAACGCACATGGACTCTAACTATTTACTTTATACGTACTCCATTTGGTTCCAGTGACCGACTGCTGAATAAGGCATCCGGTAGGCCACAGTAAACTGTATGTTACCATGCCACGGGCGACGGGGTATCGATTTAGGAACACACGCGCCCGATTAAACATCATTGGGATCATTTGTTTAGTTCTGATATGGACAATTGTACTAACTCAATCACTTACAACGTTCGAATGTTATGAGAGATGATTTTGTTACGTAAACATATTATTTGCGCGATTGGTTACTTGAACGGTGGATTTGCTCTGAATTTTTGAACGTTGCACTCGTTATTCGGTGGTTGTAATACTGAGATGATGATTCTTAGCATTCGAAATTGTGCGCATGCGGATTGAGATGACTAGTGTTAGTTGCATTCATTTCAGTGTATACTATTAGTAAATTTGCTGTTTGAAAACACATGACTAGTTGCTTGGTGTGTTTATTAGGCAGATTTCTGTGTCCATCGAGAAAAAAAATATTCGCGAACAGTTCCAGTCGAAAAAAAAAACTCCGGTCACGTTTCCTTTCGGAAGGGAGGTTATGTCGTTGGTCCCGGCCCATGTGTTGATGGGTTCGATAGGTTCCAGGTGTGGAAGGCGCCTCCCTAGCAACAAATTATACTATACATTAACCATATAGTAACTAACTGTTCACTCTTTTGTTTTTCCGAAGACACTATTTTCAGACAAAACGCGGCTTTAGTTGAAAAGGTAACTAATATATTCTATAAACATTAGAAAGGATGCTTCAAAGCTTTAAAAGAGGTTTAAAATACTCACGTCAAAGTCACGAGTTCAAATCTCATCCTCGGACAATTCACGAATGACCCAAGAGTGTTAAAGTGACTATAATAATAAAAAAGAGTTTGTTTAATTTATTAATTTCGTATTCCCATACGTACTAGAGGTTGATTTTCGCAAAATTCCCGAGATTACCATGAATTGACTTAATCATAATTCTTAAACATTGAAAAAAAAAACTAGGTGAAAAAAACAATACGCAAGAGCGATTTATCAATCTACAATGATTGAGTCAATTCATGAGTTTTCCATAGTAATGAGGTACTACGACGTGCACTAAACAATGTAGGGTAGAGGATATCTTTGGTAGTAAACCGTAGATCCCATGTTCCATAGAGAGGATGCACATGCTCGTTTACTTGCTCTACCAAACAAAAAACATAAGAAAACGACCCGCGGTGTAAAATAACGTTTCAATGGAAGATGCGATGTACAAAAGCTACAAGCCGTGTGCCACTCTCCACAATTTCGAAGGCCGCAATCATGCCGGTTCGATTTTTAAGTTTGATTCCTTACCATCATTTCCGCCAATATGTCTAGGTACCTATATGTAATGATCAGGTGGTATGCATATCCGCCCCTAGGGATAATGTTCGATAAAAATGACTTCATAGCCACGATAGAATGCAAAAACTAATGCAATCATTCAGAGCAATTGCTCATTGATACAACCAGCGAATTGATAAAATGTATGTATGCCCATAATCCCATAGCAATCCCACATGGAAAAAGTACCTATGCATTGAGAAAATGGCAGTCGAAGTTACGAAGTGTGCAAATATTTGAAAAATCATCGTTTTTTAATATTTTTTCCAGTTAAAATCAGTTGCATTGAAGCTTGCATGTTTTGTTATATAACATCGAAAAATATGGCAACTCGAAAATCAGAACTGTAACTTCACCTCTGGTTCTGGACGATTGAATTTAAGAATGGGACTGATATGCGATTACTTTGCTTGATGGGATAAACTGACTTGATGATGTTTTCACATTTTTCACTATCAAAGTACGAAATTTTATCACGTAATATGACAGTAGATGCCAATCGATAGTGGAGAACGTTGTTATCGTGAAATAGACGAAAATCCATAAGGGACTGATCTGCGATTATACGCAGTATTAGTGAATGCAAAGCTTATTTTGTTGAATGCGAATTTTAGAATAATTGAGAGATGGCGAGCGGTTTTCATGGAGATACATGTATATTGAGATTGAAATAATGTCGGTTGTCATGGTTATACTTTTCAAAGACGACATTAAATCAGTGATCAACTTAACCCCTGAAATTGAACCCAATTTTTGAATCCGCTACAGTGGCCAATCCCCATTACCTAACGAACGGTGGCCCATCTCGTGCCTAACTTCTTGATTTTTCCAATATTTTGTAGTGTATTCTGGATATTTTCCAAACTTGTTTTTTTTTTCATACACTATTGTATAATACCTATCTTAATTTTTAGCTCAACTCAAGAGCCATTTTTTTCTCAAAACTGCGTGATATTAGGACTTAGGTGCGTAAAATTACCATACTTTACGGTAGCAAAAATACTTTAAGCACTTTTAAGAAATGCCGTGAAGGCAATCAGTAATTTTTCATGTTTTAGAAGGACAGGTCATGCAGGGTGTAGTAATCATACACAGTTACTTAAATACAAATCGATTGTTTCTGATGCACGGCATCGGTGGTTTTTATTGTCCTGTTATCAAAGACGATTCGGTCGCATTTGCTAAAACTCTTTACATAATTTAAAACATGACATGTATCACATGCTCAGTTTTTTAAACTGCTTATTTTTAACACATTTATCGAAAACTTAACAAGTGAATTAAAATATCTTTGGTTCCATAATTATATCGTTTGCTTTTTTAGACAATAGCTTCCTGTTGAATACTAATAGAAGTGGACTGGTTTGCCACCGGTGACGTTGCTGACCGTTGTTTCATATATGCTAGGAATGTTGTCCACAACAAACTGCATATACTAACGAAAGGTACCCGATTGTGTTCCGGAATGAGCGCGAAATTTATCGTTTGTAGAACTGGCCAAACGCAAATGCCGACCTAAAGATTTAATGAACTTATTATTAAGGCCAAATTCGGATTTTAAAACCAATCTATTTGCTTACCTTATAAGTGTCTGGGAATTTTTTTCTGACTTCATTGACTGCCTCATCGACAGTTTTCTCTTCTAGAAGGCTCATCCCGAAAAAGAAGCTTGTCCCGGCAAATGGGCCATAACTAAACTGTTCCACTATTGCCTACAAGTAAAAAATGTAAAAAGAATTTTTCCTCAAGCTTGCTGTATTTGCTTACTTTTGTTAGGCCTGCCTTTAAACTCATTGTTGGCCACATTTGACTTGAAATTCTGATCCACCCGTACAGTGTAGGTGCTACAAAAAACGTCCCGAAAACTGCAAAGTTTATGCATTGCCTATAGTCGTACGTTTCTGAAGAAAAGGATAAAAATTATTAAACAAGATCTATAATATTTATACATTTATTCCTTACGAAAATTCTTCCCATCAATGGTCTGCTGTATTATGCATCCTGTTGGCCAGATAAAACTGTATGTTGCCATACCTTTAACGATGGGATAATTTTTAAATACATTTCTTATAACTGATAGACTCATTTCTTTCAATTTTACTATCACAGCAGAAAATTTTAAACTGAAGAAAAATGCAGCTGTTGAAATCTGAAACAAACACAAAGGTACGTATTCTTAGAAAATAATCCATCGTCAACTAATCACGAGCAGTTGCCATGATGCATTTAGATGCACCATCATCAAAACAAATTTCATTCACTGATCTACTTTTGCGTGTTGGAGAAGGAGAAGGTTGTTTATTATTGAACGCACGTGTTTCAGGGACGTCAGTGTATACGTGAGTGAGAGAATGTGTTATTGAATAGATGCACTTGATGCACTAGTAGAATTTCAACTAGGAAGATAAGAGCCTTGACCTTACATTTAGCAAAGCATGGCTTTGATCCCTCACCCACAATAGACATCATTCGGCAATGACTTACAATACTCACCTAAAATGAAGAAATGCACTAGTTATACGCTGCACTATTCCGCGGGAATATCGTACAGCTAGAAATGTATGAAATTTACTTAAAATTTAAAGCACCATTGCCGAGACATTTCAACCTTCTATTATATACTATGAGTGTGACATAAGAAACTGACAATGATAATGCGTCACAGTCACACGACGTGAGTGCAGTGTGGCCAGTTCGACCAGCTCATACTTATAGACGGCGTACTTCGAAACTCCGACACAAAAAGGGGTGAAGTCATGGAAGTCATGTCACCAACCAACCACACATGTTTTAAATAAAGCGATTCTAATTTCTTAGTTTATTGTTGAGTCTGATACTCTGCTGGTATGTTAAATTGTAGCCACCGTTTAAAGCAATTATTTTTAATTATGTACAACAAAATAGAGATGATTTTACGACTAATAGGAGCTAAATGGTGTCTAGTTTTTGATTGGTGATTTACTGGCTATAATCGCATATCAATCCAATAAGGTACACTGGGGAAAGTGGAACTTGCAAGCACTTGCAAGTGTTATTCTATGGGGGTAAGTGGGACCATTGTGTTGTGCGGCAGAAATCTTATCTGATATCCACTAGAATGTGAATGTTTGTGTATCGTAGGGCAAAAAAAATGGAAGAATTTCGATCAAAAACCGGTTTTTGTGACAAATGACCATGTATACCTATGTACTATTATTACTGTGAATTTGATAGAAACCTGTAGAGAAATATGGTTTGTGCAATGCATTGTACGGAAGCGGAAAGGCAAATTATTGTAAGGCTTAACGAACAGGGAAACTCCTAACAATAAATCGCCAATATCATCAGAAACTCTAAAAATTTTGATTCCAATGCTCTAAGATCACCAAAGCAACACTTGGCAGCCAGAAGATTACGAAAAACGATCGTGGGTGACGATGGTCATATCAAATGCAGGACTGTTACAACAGGCGCGGATTTCGCGAATTTCGCGGATTTGTCGCGGATTTAAACTTTCAGTCGCGAAAATCGCGGCAACATTAAATGAAGTCGCGAAAATCGCGAAGGGACTGATGTGCTGTCACAAAAATTGTGGAATTCAATGTAACCTTTCCGTCCCGGATTATTTTGCTGTCATCAATTTTGTTGTTCATTTGGCTCTCAATTTTTACCGGTTCAATCCAAACACCCTGCAAATAATCGAGAAATAATCTCAATTCCATAAGTCACACCGGATTTACATGGAAATTCCATGAGGTCTATCCAATGTGAGACATTTTCCTTTTTTTTTCCCAATATGAACTTAGCATTTTTCGTTGTCACATCATAAACGAATTGTATATATGCGAGTAATTGTCATGTATACCGGATGTTCTAGGTTCTCCAAATCGTCCTGGAGTTCAGTTGATTTGTTCTACTATATCAACCAAGACTCCAAACAGATTCAAAGTGTCTATGTGGATTGTACCCGACCTATTGCTACGTATACAAGATGTTATAGGTTCTGAAATCATTCTGGGGATCATATTATTTTTCTACTAGATCACCCAAGACTAATTAAATATCTGTAGTATCGAAATATGCCCAAACAAAATTGCAGTGTCTATGTGAATCATGCCAACCTATTTCTGTGTATGTCAAATGTTCTAGGATTTCCAAATCGATATTTCAATACTACAGATATTATCCTAGTCTTTGTAGATCTAGTAAAACAAATCATCTGAACTGCAGGACGATTTGGAGAACCTAGAGTATCTGGTATACGTGGACATAATTAAACATTATCCATATAGACACTATGAATCTGTTTGGACATATTTCGATACTACAGACTTTATCCCAGTCATGGTTGATCTAGTAGAATAAATCATCTGAACTCCAGAACGATTTGGGAACTTGAAACATCTGGTATACATGACAATAGTTCATGCATGATCCACATAGACACTTTTTTTTTGATACTACAGACATTATTGCAGTCTTGGTTGATCTAGTAGAACAAATCAACTGATGTCCTGGACGATTTGGAAAACCTATAATTTCCGGTATACATAGAATTTCATAATGTAAGGGTGTTTTATTATGTTCACTAATTACTCAGAATTTATACTATACATAAATAATTGAAGATGATACATTGTTATTTTTTATTTTTTTTTTCAAAGGTTACACACGATACATACTCCTTAAGCACAGTCGGTAAAGGCGCAGCTACAAAGCAAGTTCATGCTGGAGGTGACTGAGTTCGATTCCCGTCCGGTCTATTAGTTTTTCGGGTTGCAAAATGTGTCTACTTTCTTTGGCATAGGATGGTACGGGCATAGAAAGTTCACGATTAAAATGTGAAAGTAGTTCAAAGAACACTAAGTTGAGCGCAGGCAAAAATCTAATATGAAGCAATAAGCTTGAAATGCCATGTAGTAGTACACAAATGCTATTTTTAGGCAATGAAAACAGTTTTTTTTTGTCGCGGATTAGCATTTGAAGTCGCGGCTTTCTTTTGAGAAATCGTGGATTTCGCGGATCGAATTTAGAAAATCTTGTAACAGCCCTGCAAATGGCCCTCAAATATTGATCGTTTTAACACAGCAGCGAACACTAAATAGGAATTAGGCTTGTCTGTCAGTGCGAAAACGAGTCTCCAGAGATTTGTTCGGTAATATTTTGTTGGATGAAGCTCCAGGAAAGTACCGGTGCTTAACAAAATCCATCTACGAAACCGGCTACAGTTTACTAGGCAGTTCGTTAGAGAACATTTGGATTGAGTCGGCCCTGAAAATTGTAATATGTAGCAAAACATTCTCTGGTTGGATAAATCCAAGTTTAGCGGCGCCGGTGATGTAGTGGTAAGCGTGATTGCCTCTCACCTCAGCAGGCCTGGGTTCAATCCCAGTCGGCGCCGCCGGGATGTTCTGAAACATAACATCTCTGATCACGCCTTCCTTCGGGAGGGAAGTAAAGCCGTCGGTTCCCGGTTCATGAGCTAATGGAGCGATAGGTAGGGTCCAGGTCCCTGGCGTCGGTAGCATTGGTGCTCAGCACGGAAAACAAGATCGACGGAAAACAAATCTAAGAAAAAAAAATGCCTCATAGTTTGATAAAGGAGGTTCTCATCTAGCATCCAGAATTGCACACAAATCAAGAAATGTGTTTGCAGCTGAATTATTAACGAAAGAAAAAGTCGATGAATAGAATCGATCAAAGTCACTTATCCCTTTCCTTCAAACGCCCTCAATTGTGAATCTCACTGGATATCAGCAAATGGGTATTGTCAAAATATAGGGCTTTGAATGTCTAGAAACTTCTTCCAAGACATTATATACCTCAAATTAGGGTTGATGCATATATTATGTCACGCTCTAGGGGGGGGGGGGAGTGGTTCTAAGATTTTGTGACAAGCAATGCATTAGGTATATGAAAAACGTCACGATAGGGGGGGGGGGGTAAATTTCTCCTCAATTTAGCGTGACATAATTAATGCACTACCACTTACTACTACACTACTGACGCCGCTAACTATGTGGCATAAATTGTTTATAAAGCTGTGGCTATCTAAAGAGAAGGTCCGTGAAGAGAATCGATCAAAGTCAATTACACTCCTTTTCTTCTAACCCCCTCAATTTAAGTGGAAATAGAGGGTTGGGGTTAAATCCCAGCCGAGGTCGGTGGGATATTTCTGAGGCATAAAAATCTCTGGTCACGTCTTCCTTCGGAAGGGGGTAGTAAAGTCGTTGGTCCCGGCCCATGTGTGTTTGAATTATAGTCGCTATTTTCATAGTCTAGCGGATAGAATTTCGATGTATCAAAAAGTGGAACCAATTCAATATATTGTAGACCAACAATTGAAAAGATACTATCAACCTTTATAAACAAACGTTGATTATTCTTTTCTCACCAATCGAAGGTAAATTACCAGCATCAAGATAGTGTTAATTTGTGTAGGCGAGCCTTGACTCACGAAAAAAGTGTTTCCGAAATTTTGTGGAAGCTGCCTTCCTGTACATTCCATTGCCGTCAATGGATGTCAATCGATGTTCGTGGGTGATTGGCACTATATTGCGGAACAGAGACTGATGTTAAATAAATGAAGAAGAAGAAGAAACCTCTATATTTGTACATAAAGGTAATTTTTACGTGTTTATCATGTTCTAATGAGTTGTTTATCTTGTTAAAATACACATTTTTGTAGAAGACAATCGCCGGCTATTCAATGTATCTTCGGAGATACATATTGTAAATTTTTAATACAAATTGAATATTAATTTTTTAACTTGAATAAATCATAAGGTGGCAAATGGTGGCTAATCAGACAACTTCTGTTGGAAAGTGCAACAAAAACACTCAGGGAAGGAATTGAGAACACAGGGGTTGGAGAGCAATGTGCTCTTGATCTCGAACTAAGCGACATACTGATGAAAAAGACAAACATGGGGGTACACCGATGGGGAGCTAACAACTTGGGAGAACACAAGATGACACTAACTACTAAATCCTCAGATCGATCCATTTTAAAAACACATAAATTAAATTTAAATAGTCGAGATCTCGGCTCGCCAAGATGTCTCTAACGGGTCAAAGGTTGTTTTCCTCGGGCCCTCCGGGATGCAAAATATACTTAAGAGTATTTTTTTGCTGGTTTTAAATGGAAACTACTTTATGCGATTTACTCAAATTAAGGTTACTGAGCTGAACCCGGGAATTGAAAGAAAAGTACTTAATTTTGGTTAGTGTTTCATCGCCGTGAATACATTAAAGGTTTTGAAGTAAAGGCTGGCGCACAATGTATAAGTTTCCGGGTTTTTTGACAGATAATATGGGCTAGCTGTCAAAAAACCTGAAAACTTATCTATTGTGCGCCAGCCTTAACTCCACGCGATCACGTTTTTCACTGGCGGTGAAAAACTTTATAGCAGAACTGTCACTTTTCACTTTCATAGTTGATTTCCATCAAACAACAACAACAACACAATCACACAAAATCAACATGGGATTGTCTCACCTGCTCATTGATGTAACTGCTTTGCAGGATTGAATGGTCGATTGCGGGATCGAGTGGTCGATTGCGGGATCGAGTGGTCGATTGCGAGAAATCGGCGATGGAAGGAAAAAAAGATAGTTAGGCGTTATGCACGCAGGAAAAAATATTTTAAACGTT